CAAATCATCATTATCGCACTTCGGAGAACCTCCAGGGCGTTGTTTGTCGATTAGATTGAAATTACCGCTTTTGAACCGCTTAAACAAAAATGTGCACACATCGTACGATACAATACCTTCGCTGAGAAAGGAACAAATCGATTCGCACGCTCTTGCAGCATTTTTCCTTGTTCCTGGAATTCGTAAAGAATGCAGTGTCGGATATGCACCTTATCTGTTGCCATTTTCGACTGTACTGAACTGAATACTTTGGAAGGTTATGTTGGGCCTTTCGCCAAACTATATGTTCTTTTTAATAGCTATATGTCAACATTGCATAATCATAAAAGAGCGGGAAAATGTATTCAATTTAAAATTGATTTCATAACTGCTTAAAATAATTTGGATTATTCATTTGTACACCTAATAGATTCTCAACATTGAGTGTCAATTGGGTGTGACCATCAATATTCGTTATTATCTTGGTGTAGACACTCAATATTGGATATTATTTGGGTGTAACCATCAATATTTGTATGATCAAACGAACTTCTGAGTGAATCGATCATAATTATGCGTATGCTTTCGTCCGAGTAGAATACATGTAATCATGTCACATCCCGAAATGAACAAGCATCTTTAAAGATGAGCGCCAAAAGCAAACAATTTGGCGCCCCGCTCGGTGCCGCGCGCAGCGCTGTCCGCTGCACGTGCACCCCTCTTCATGGTTCAAAGCCGTCACAAATCGAAGGTGGGAGGGGACGACGAACGAAGTTCCAAAGAAAGGGAGGGTGACTCTACTCGGACGAAAGCATACGCATAATTATGATCGAACTTCACTCAGGAGTTCGTTTGATCATACAATTATACTATGCATTTCTTCCGAGTAGAATACATGTAGCTATTCAAAACCACGATTTGTGACCGTGAGATATTTCTTTTTCTCCTTTTGAAGAAAGGGCCTTACAGAGACCGAGAAGAAAAAAGGACGCAATGTATCTGTTAGGCAGCAAACGAGGTGAAATATGCATAGGTAAAATTATTAGCTCAACTCCTAGCATAATGCATTTAGAAAAGAAAAGGATTAAGCTCGCAGTTAATGATTCAAGATAATCGCTTCAGCCCCCTTAGTTGTGGGTAATAATGATCGGTTATAAAAATTCGCGAAAGTTGACAAAGTGGACGACCAGCCTGCCGCTTTTCGAATATCAACAGAAATACCTTTTTAAAGCGCGGCCGAAGAGCCGGCGTGACGAGTAGAGTGAATCGTAAAGATTGAGGTATCAACTCCTCCTTTAGACAGTGTTAGTCGCACCCAACGACTAATCGTCTGAGCGGATGCGGTACGGATGGGCTTCTTAAAGCTAAGAAATAAGGTCGAAGAGGATTCTGACGAAAAATTATGCGCTGTCATGCTAATATATAAACGCAATAACAAAAAAATTGAAAAAGCAGGCTGATCATCAAAGTGATGGAAAAACCATGATCGGTCGAGGCCGATTCGGACCAGAGGTTTCTATACGATCAGGTATTTTAATAATAACTGTAGTTTTGAGGAACTGAATATTACGTCGCTTAATTAATCCCAGAGTTTGTACACGCTGCACGGAAGCTAAATTTAGCAAGGTGTCAAGTTTGCACGTAAGAAGTTCTAAAGACAAGGCCAGAGAGAGGCCAAATATAACAGGCGTTGGATCCCATGTCAGTGCGTGCTTGGGTTTAGAAGGTTTTAAAACCGAAATGCCTCTAAAAAACACCATACTTTATCGTCTGAGCCAAAATTAACATCCGTGATGAGCGAGAGTGCTGAGCGATACGAATTAAAGATCATAAGCATTAATCTTACGAATCTGCGAAGATAAGAAGGAGAGAACCAGTGTTATTGCCGGACAAAACCAGTCAAGTTGATGCTGAGTGCAGAAATTCCACCACAATTGTATGGGCTTAGAATATTGCGATAGCGTCAAGGCCACAAACGATGCGAAGGCTGTCTCTGTGGGGTCATCTAGGAAACCTTATCGGCTAAACACTTGCCTAATAATTTCTCTACTACCAGGGAAATGTTGTGCCCATTTGAGTGTGGAGTCCTGAAGGAAGAAAGTACTAAATTAGGGTATGGCCGGAAATAAATTGGATCCGATGTACATAATTGGTGGAAGAGGGGAAACCAAGGTTGAGCTTTGGGGAACAACTAGAATGCCCTCCGCCCGATCGTCTATGATCTTCCGCAAGCTTCTAGTAATAAGTGCGAAAGGAGGAAAGGCGTAAAAATAGAATTCCCTTCAGTCTAAAGTAAAAACGTCGACTGCAAAACGAAGGGAACCGGAAACCATGAGGCAAAAGTATCACCTTTTGTATTTTTATGGATGGCAAATAAATCGATGTCAAATAGTCCGAATTGTTTCTTAATTTTTGCAAAAAAGGGAGGAAACCCCATTCGGTGCCTACGGACACAGAGCGAGACTCTGTGTCCGCCACAACGTTTTCAGCAAAGCGGATATAAGAAGCAAAGATATATAGGTCACGTGCTTCGCACCATTGCCAGATTGCCTTGGCGAGTGCTGAGAGCTTGGTAAAACGACAGGCCCCCTTTATTAATATACGGTGTAGCTGTTGTATTGTCAATGTTCAATAAGATACGTTGGGAACGTACATGACTCCAAAAGAATCATTAACTGAGGGCATACTATCAGCCTTTAATTCTAGAAAATTTATGTGCTCTCTGTGTTCCAAGTATGACCACCAATCATGAGTTCATTCGTGCCGACAGATGTACTCCAACCTATGAGGGAGGTATCTGGAAAATTTCTATATAGAATGTATTCGCATTTCGCTCGGTCGGGATGCCTGTACCGGTGAGGTTTTTTTAAAGTTCACGAATATTCTCTCATCCGCTGTTCACGTAAGCCCTGCGAGCTTAGTTTCCGATCACTATTCGGTGTTTCAAGCTAGGTTCACGTGAGCAGTGGATTATACGAGGCTGGAACAGCCAATCCGGCACATACATATGTTTACCTGTCCGCTAAGAGATGCCTGGATATCTCGGTGGGTAATATCGTCGGTTTTCGTCTCGTTTTTAAAACGGCCACCGTTACGTAAAACGGCAGATCGTTACATTACATTGTTTGGTTCTCTCAGAGCGTTAGGCGTCGCGATTCTTCGCGCTCATCTTCGTCGTTTTCTTAGCGCAAGCCTGCCGCATGTCGTGCCGCCCGCTTGCTGCACTCAATTCAATTTACATTCAATAAATTTGATTGCGCCTTAACGTCGATCATTGCGTTCTCTAGTGCGGTGCACCTGCGTCATATATATATATATAATTTGTGTTTGTCTTTGCGTGCGGAAGCTGTGTTTGTTCGCGAGCTCATTACAGGATATTGAAGACAAATCGCGTTGACGTGACTCTTTGTTCCACAACCCGTCTCTTCTCGGTCGCGAGAAATCGAACTGATATCGCGCCAGCATGCGCTCCGTCGCTCGCATCGGAGCGACCACCGGCAATTTTTCCGAGTCTCGCCCTGGTGCCCGCACCGTTCGCGTTCACCGGGCCCAGATTCGAACAGAATGCAATGTGCCTATTAAACTAGCAAATTCCGACTTTTGCAGGAACGTTTCTTGGAATACTTCTCAAGGCGTTCCAGAATATCTAAACGTTTATCCTCAGGTAATGGTTTTTTTTTGGAAATTAATAACAAAACCGAGACTCTTAAGTAAGTCCAGAGTGGTGTCTACGTTGGCAGAGCATTGTAAAATTATACGGAGTTGTAGCGAGGCCAAAAGGTAATGTACAAAACTCAAAAAGGCATTCCTGGAAAGAGAAGCGAAGATATTTGTGATAATCTGCATGACTTGGCATTAAAAAAGAAGAATCTTCTAAATCTAATATTGCCAAAATTAGTTTTGAGATAATAGACGGGTAGCAGTCCCGAGATCCTCCACCTTAACATGAGATGGAAGAATATATCTGTTCAAGATTTTCAGATTCAAAATGAATATTTTTTTTTATCCGTTACAAAGGTGGTCTCGGCGATAGCGCCCTTGCAGATGAGGCGCCTTATTTCCTCTGCACACAGCGTCTGTTCTAATGAATTCAACCAAGGTTCCCGCCAATATGAGCGGGGAGGACGAGTTATAAGAAAAGGTATTTTATAGCCTGAAATTGCGCTTCAAACGACAGAGTCGTTAGTGAGATCTGACCAAATTTCGAAAATTTAAGCAAGCCTGCCCGCAATGCTTACCTCTATATACGGGGGCGCTGGCTCCTGCGATTTTTGTTATTTTCTTCATAGGCTGCGTCATGTTGAATCGGATATTTATGATGGGAAAAATGGCGCTCACTCAACATATTGCGAGTGAGCGCATTGCTCAATAGCGTTCAGGGCGAAATCACTCAACAGTTGCACAACCGTTGAATGTCATGAACGCACCCTTTTTCTCTCGTACAGGATTCATAATAACGTCATGAAAGAATTGGGATAAGGCAAGCTATATATGTAGGCTGCGTTCCAAAATTCACTGCTAGCACCGAATACATGTGGTCTGAGAGCTCGACCTATGTTTCGTCGACTAAAGCACCACTCTTGCCTGGCGACAAGACGTTGATTTGTTGGCAAAGGTTCTCGCATTTCTCTGTAATGAGAGTTTATAAGCAAAGGAAGGTCGGCTCTTATTTGCAGTATTTGCCTTCGCAGGCGCCTGCGAACTAACTTGTCTGCTGCTGCTACGTCTTTCAATTTGGTTATCCATGTATGGTTTCCAAATATTGTTCACCAAAAAGCTGATTGTCAATAGGCGACGCATCAAGAGCGTTTTTAGCGGATGAAGTTAACATAGGCATAATCAGACCACGTCTAACCTTAGATATATTATGCTGGAGTTGAGAGATTAAGCGGCCAGCATCGCTTGCAGTTTCAAAAATATGGTTTGGCATCCCACTGATTCTTTGGCTTCAACAATTCGGATAAGAGATATGCTTGCGCTGCAATTGCGGCTTCATTAACACTTTAAGTGACAACTTTGTCACAAATGTGGAACGCTTCAGGAACGCTTTCTCGTGTCATCCTTGCACAGAGGCTATGCTAGTCTTCCCTATATCCTTCCAATTTTTGTATATGTACTGCCGAAGCAAGTACTGATAAACATCTCGCCTAACCACTGTAAAAGGAATAGCTCGACGTACCTTGATATTAAGGATCGGAGTTCTGGCGAGAGATAAATTCTGGGGCCACATCATCGGAATCGACCCTCAATACTCTCTTACACGCAGCAACTTTGTCTTGCTGAGAAGATGTGACGTCGTGTCCAGAAGAGAGAATTTCGCAAAAGTAACAAAAAGATGAGCTATCTCCTCCATTTCCTCTTGCTGGCCAGTCGCTGAGCATATTATTGCTAATAAATATAGAGCCAGAGAAACATTATTCTCAACGAGAATGAGATGGACGGCTCTGGGCATGCCTCGAAGAATAGCCTCTCTATGAGAGAAATTTAGCGGACAAGACCAAACTCTAGATAATGGTTCGCAGTCCAGAAATGATGTCACTGGGCCTGCCTCGAAAGACAACCTCAAGACATTGACTCAGGCTCATCTCCAGAGCTAGAGCTTTCCATATCCCCAAACTGATCTGGTTCCGCCGTACAGGCTTCCTAACCTCCCGCACCGAGGGAGAGGTTATGTTCGACATGATCGGCCTCCTGCCGGTCCGTCGACGATCCGTACGGGTTGAGCCCGAGTGTATGAGTAAATTGAGAAGAGCATCCAGCTTCTTCTCCAAGGAAATTGTCAACGGACGTTCTGATGAACGAGAATGCACACTGGAAGAGCAGTGTCCGCGGGATTTGCCACGCGGACACTTCGATTTGGAGGTTATGTTACCTCTATATCCGTGTCTGGAGAACGTTCGCCAGAATGTCCTGTAGGAAAAAAGTAATAGATTAGTTGTAGCCGGAAGCGAGACCGTTTCCGGGACATTGAATGAGAGTGCTTTCCCATAATTTTGAAGAGAGGAAACACTCAATGCTATTGTTCGAGAGAACAAGCAACTCAATGAAGACGGGTGCGCGCGTAGCGAACAGCGCTGCGCGCGGCACTGAGCGGGGCGTCAAATTGTTTGTTTTTGGCGCTCATCTTTAAAGATGCTTGTTCATTTCGGGAGTCATATGACATGACTACATGTATTCTACTCGGACGAAACGCATAGCATAATCGATGTATTATTGGTGTAGACATTGAATATTGAGTGGTTAAGCATTGGGCTTCAGTATTGGGTGTCGGTTAGGTATGACCATTAATATTCAGTGTTAGTTTGATATAGATGTTTAATAGTGTGTGTCGGTTAGAACATCAATGGTGCAATAGTACGCGCGTGCCAGTGGTTAAGAAACCTATATCTTGAATAAAATATAATGTTGAGTAATTAGTCTTTTATTCTTCATTTTTCAGAATATTTCAAGTTTGCAGTGGACAATATATAAAAATGAAAGTATGTTTTCGTGAAACCCTTGTTTATTCATTATATTTTCATTTAATAACTTGTAAATGAGGTATTAAGTGAATAACTAAATAGGCTAAATATATCATTTGACTGTTACACATTCATTTTGATGGTGTTCCATCAACTGGGTGTAATACTCGAATAAAGATATATATATAGGGTCATCGAAAAGTATCGGACCCCCCTAATATCTTCAGTTAGAATGCATTTTGGAGAAAATGTCCAATAGCAAAGTTGTACGGTTTCAAGCGGGGAGTAAGATGATGATCTTGACTTTGACTTTGACCATGTCCTTCAAGATCATTTCAAGGTCAACCTTATTTTTTTTAAATAGAACCCCCAACATTTTATTGCATATTCTTATAGCTTATCTCGATAGCTTTCCAAAACACTATAATAAAACATTTTTTCATTAAGTACTTTTTGAGTTATAAAGGTTTGAAGTTAATAATTTTTTGACACAAAATGTAAAATATCTTGTAAAATATTATTTAGTTTTCAGTAATCATAACCTTAATACTTTTGTGCGCGAAATAATGAGACCAATTAATTGGTTTAAAGAAAATACATTAATCGAAAAGTATCGGCTCCCCCTAATATTTTCAGTAAGAATGCATTTTGGAAAAATATCCAATAGCAAAGTTGTACGGCTTCAAGCGATTATGCCAGTAGGCTATGGCGGAAAACTGCCCGAAAGTGATCACGAGAAGCTGCTCGAATGCATGATGTCTAAAGGCGTTAGTGGGAATCTGCCCGAAAGCGTCGGCAGGGCCGACCTTTATTGTCTCACTCTCGCAGGCACCAATAGTAATACAAGCTCTTGAATAAACAATGCGGATCATTGATTTTAATCTTTGATGCAGTGCTGTCTTCTTCTTAGCGAGCAGCAGTCACCTCGTGGATGAAAACGAACAGCCCCAAAAATTGTTTCTGTAACAAAAGAAGCCATTGCGCTTCAATTGATTGTCCCAAACATCTTCATTTTGTTTCCAATAGCCCAGAATTTTTTCGTAAATATTATTAATTGATCTATTAGATTTTCAGTTGCTCAACGAGCTTTTTGCTAGTGCTGGTTGAAATAAACAAATCGATAGTTGGACCAACACTTAATAATTAGTATTTTTCTCTACTTAATTATTTAGATCAATTTCCTGTCACTTACCTGATTAATTCTTCTTTGCTCTAATTAAGAATGGCGGAGCTTTCTGAAAGAGATCGAATAACACTGTTAATGATGCGAGGATGGGGAGATCAACAAAGAGGGTATAAAACAGTAACGTGATCATTTAATGAAAATTTTCGGAATGAAAATAATAAGATCTCCAAAAATACTATAATCCAAAAGTACTATAATCCGTACTATTCAACGTTTCGAGGACATTGGTAGCATTAAAAGCCGCCCAAGATCTAGTAATTGTAAAACAGCAACAAATAATGATAAGGCATTAGATGTTTTACAGTCTTTCGTTGAAAGTCTCCACATTTCCATCAATCGCATTGCACAAGAACACAAAATCGGTCTTGCATCTGTCAGTAAAATTCTGAAATTGAATAAATGGCATCCATACAAACTCCATTTGGTCCAAGAGTTGTCTGAAGACGATTTTGATAGACGCATCGAATTTTGTGATCTTATGATGGAGATGATTGTCGAAGATCCTCTATTACTTAATAATATTGTTTTCTCTGATGAGGCAACATTTGAACTGACTGGAAATATAAATAGACACAATTGTAAATACTGGAGTGACGTTAATCCTCACTGGAAAAGAGACAATCATACCCAATATCCATAAAATTTAACGTATGGGCTGGTATTCTTAATGGTAGACCAGTTGGCCCTTTCTTCATTGAAGGCAATTTGACAGCACAAGTATACACAGTCATGCTTCGCGAACAAATTGTTCCAGCTATTCGAGACATAGCTGGTGGAAATATGGATGAAATTTATTTCCAACAGGATGGAGCTCCATCTCATTATGGTGTCATTGTCCGTCAATATTTGAATGAGGTCTTTCAGGACAGGTGGATAGAGCGAAGGGGTCATATTGAGTGGCCACCTCGGTCTTCGAACTTGACCCCACTTGACTTTTTTTTTGTGGGGTTACTTGAAAAGTAAAGTTTATGCCACCAAGCCTCAAGATTTAAATGATTTAAGAGGGAGAATAACTCGACAGATAGAACTAATACCGCCGGAAACGTTCCGGAATGCGGTTTCAGCTGTTTATAACAGATTGACACATTGCCAGGCTGTTGAAGGGCAACAATTTGAACATTTGTTGTGAATTGTTTAGCACAATTGAATATTTTGCCCAAGCTGACCAATTGGAATGAAATTCGCCTTAACTGGTCGGAATCACACACCACTCTTGCCTTAACTGGCCGGAATCACACACCACTTAACAAATTGTTAACTTCAAACCTTTATAACTCAAAAAGTACTTAATGAAAAAATGTTTTATTATAGTATTTTGGAAAGCTATCGAGATAAGCTATAAGAATATGCAATAAAATGTTGGAGGTTCTATTTAAAAAAATAATGTTGACCTTGAAATGACCTTGAAGAACATAGTCAAGATCAAAGTCAAGATCATCATCTTACTTCCCGCTTGAAACCATACAACTTTGCTATTGGACATTTTCTCCAAAATGCATTCTAGCTGGAGATATTAGGGGGGTCCGATACTTTTCGATGACCCTGTATAAACTTTTTTTTTATTCGTAATAGATGGCGCTATAATCGCAAAAAATTAGATTTTCTGCAATTCTCCAAAAATGATCATTGGATTGAAAAATAAAAAAACGCTCGCATGTGGATTATGAGCCACTGCAACTAGTACTGATATTTGATTATTTTCTTCACAAACAGTAGCTCTACGCGTTCTTTTCTTCAGTTGTACACTTCCATCAGTACAAAACTGTGTAACAACTCTAACGAAAGAAGAACGTAATCGTACTCTTTCAGGAAAACGCTCAGCATACAAATTGACAGCATCGTCAAAATTTCTCCTACATTCGCCATAAATGAAAATCATTTCAATTTTTTCTTGCACAGTTACATAATCCATGATGCAAAGTCAGAAGAGAATGATAGTGGCATGGAACACTCTTCAAAAATTGATTAAGCTCCTCTCCTGATTAGAAAGGTAAGTGTCTAATAATGATCGTCTCTTAAGTTCTATGGGCGCGAACGATGGAGAGATGCCACTAACAAATAAATTATGCAAAATCACTCCGATTGTGAGAGTCGAGAGGACTCACCTAAGTAGAATAGTAAGGCCGGTTCTAACCCAGGAGTGCTGAGGGGGACGCGGGGAAGCGGAGAACTCATGGCGCGGGGTATGACGCCGCGCGGGGAAGGGGAACTCATGGTGGGACGTCACGCAAGATAGCGACCGTGACGTCACACATACGTCACGAGAAAAAAATGTATTGGGATGTAGGTAGACTCGAACTCGGGCCCTCGCGGTTACTACCCAATGCTCCAAAGCTCCTAGACCACCGTCGCCTGTTGTTATTATATGTCTAGTGTAGGTTCTTAGAGTGGGCATGATGACGTCACGAGAGAAAAAGTAAGTCGAAACTAGGTCAGACTCAAACCCCCCTGGCCCTTCGTTTACTGCGCCATATCGAACGTCTAT